GATGGCTGAGTATGTCGGACGATATGTACGCGGATGCGACACCTGCAATCGCGTCAAACCCTTCCCCTCACGAAAGGTTGGGAAACTTACCCCGAATAAGATCCCCACCCATCGTTGGCAGGTCATCTCAGTGGACATGATAGGGGAGCTCCCAGAGTCCAGAGGATATAATGCCATCTTGGTCGTAGTAGACCGGCTGTCCAAACGCATCCACGCGGTCCCCACCGTGACGACTGTGGACTCGGAGGGTATCGCACGACTCTTCTTGGAGCATGTCTGGAGACACCATGGGCTCCCGGAAGAGATCCTCAGCGATAGAGGGAGCGCCTTTGTCTCCCGCTTCTCGAAGGAGCTGGCAGACCTCCTAGGTGTCAAGCTGACCCCTTCAACGCCCTACCACCCCCAGACGGATGGACAGACGGAGCGGGTCAACCAAGAGATCGAGGCCTACCTCCGGGTGTTCGTCAACCACCGCCAAGACGACTGGGCGGACTGGCTCCCGCTAGCAGAATTCTCCTACAACAACCGCGTTCACTCCTCCACTCACCGAACCCCCTTTGAACTCGACACCGGCCAACACCCCAGGATGGGGACAGAACCCACGCGCACATCCGAGGTGGAAGCCGCCGATGCATTCTCGTCAAGGATGATGAAAATGCAAGAGGAGGCAAAGGCAGCCCTAGAGCACGCAGCGGACGAGATGGCACGATATTACGACCGGGACCGTGACCCGGCCCCTAAGTATCGAGAGGGCGACCAAGTCTGGCTCAATGCCTACAACTACACGACCGACCGTCCGACTAAGAAACTGGACCACAAGTGGCTTGGCCCCTTTAAGATCACCCAAGTCATCTCCCCGGCCGCCGTTAAGCTCCAGCTCACCGCCCGACAGAAGGGAATCCACCCAGTTGTGTCCGTGACGAACGTCAGGCCACACCTCCCGGACGGTATCGCAGAAAGACCCGCTGACCCACGCCCAGGCCCGGAACTGGTAGAAGGAGAGGAAGAGTATGAGGTCAAGAAGATACTGAACTCTAAGTGGCTACGCCGGAAACTCTGGTATCTGGTAAAGTTCACTGGCTGGCCGAACTCTGAAAACCAATGGCTCCAGCAGGACCACCTAACCCATGCCCCTGACCGAATCGAAGAATTTCACAGGACGCACCCCCAAGCCCCAGGGAGAGAAAGGGAGAACCACCTGGCCGCTTCGAGGCGAAGCGGCTTAAGGGGGGGTGATGTCAGGGCACACCCGCCTGACCCGGCTCCACCCGGCCCAACCTGACCCGGTACCCCGCCGGTCCACCCCTCCTTACCTCCTCCCCCTTTCCCTTCTTCCCCCTCATCCTCCCCTCCTCAGTTTCTCCTTATCTTACTTCTCCTTTATTCTCTCTTTATTCTACACGGACGACTTTCTCTGTATCAATGTACAACTGACCCATCTGCAGTGCGCCCACCATGTACCCGGCCCGGGCACCTCGGGCGACTTCCCGCTGTGCCCAGCACGCGCGCCTGCACCGGATCCCCTCGGGATCTCCCACGGAGACACCCGGGTGGTTACGGCTGTGTGCGAGGGTGACGTGGCACCCGTCATGTGATCCAAGCCGCATGTATATAAACGAACCTGAAGTGGGAACCGAAGAAGTAGCCTTCTTCTCAACTTTCCACTTCAGGTAAGTAGTACAATATTTCTCCTTTAATAATAATAACAACTTTCCACTTCAGTCTAAGTGGCCAGGGACCGCTGTCCCACATCGGGCCTGTCAGTACGCACGCCCGATCCGCCCCCCGCCAGGCTCTCGGTCCCGGACGTTATACCCGGACCCCCTCGACCCCGGACGAGTCCCTGACACTTTGGTCTATCCTCAAGCGGTCGAGGTTCATGGGCTGCAGTCCCCCTCCCGCCACAGGGCACGCTGCGGGAGGCGGCAGTGCAGTGGTGGCTGAGGGGCGTAGGGGTGGGGGAGCTGGGCGTGCTTGCGGGAAGGTAGTAGGGAGCGGGGATCTCGTGGGTGGGAGTTGGGGTCTGACTGGGGGCAAGTGGGGCTGCGTTGCCTGGAAGCGCCGCCACTGGTTGTCAAGGAGGGTGGCCTCACGTTTCCACTCGGCCCAGGTAGTCGGCATGGGGTGGAGGTGGTAGATGCTCTCTCAGAGCCAGGAGTTGATCGCCTGCTCGAAGCGGTCTACTAGCCCTACGTCTCCTAGCCGCGAGGCGGGGCCGAGGATCTCGAACTCTTGGATGACCTTGTCCACAGAGTCGGTGCCTTGTCGCAAGGTGGCCAGCTTCTGCCTGGCCGTGGCTTCGCAGTTCGGGTCTTGAAACATGGTGTCGAGCTCCATGTTGAACTCGTCCATGGTAAGCCTGGGGGAGCCCATCGTCAGCAGCATGATGGTATGCTGCGTCGCCCATGCTCCCGCAGTCCCTCCCTTCATGTAAGACAGGACAAAGAGGATCTGGGAGAGGGCATCAGGAAACTCTGCCGCCTGAACATGGAAGTAAATGCCGCATTCAGCCTTGAAGCGGTCAAGGTCTTCGGTTGCTCCAGAGAAGGGGGTAGGAGGGGCAACTTTGGGCGGTTTGGGTCTGGGGGTGGGTGTGGATGCCGGTGCGGGCGCTGGCGCCAGTGCAGGCGCAGCTGGGGGTTGGCTCTGGAGTTGGCTCTCTATGATGGCCTGGAGCTCCTGGAATCGGGACAGCAGCTCGTCATACTGCTCTTCAGTCACCATAGTGGGGGAGATGGGGGAGGCGGGGGAAATGAGGTTAAAGCCTTCTTCTGCTGTCAGGGACAGCTCCGAAAGCGGCGAGGTCCCGGCATGAGGGACTTGATGGGACAGGTGTCGGCTATGCATAGTGGCGGTCCCGTCGCGGGGTGAGCGTCCCCGACCATTTAGGCTGAAGTGGGAAGTTGAGTTATCATTAAAAGGGGGAAGCTATGGTACTTACCTGAAGTGGGAAGTTGAGAAGAAGGCTGCTTCTTCTGTTCCCACCCCAGGCGCTATTATATACATGTGGTCAGGGTCACGTGGGAGAAGCCACGTCATCTCCGCACACAGCCGCGCCTCCCCAGGTGTCTCTGCAGGAGATCCCGGAGGTGGCCGCTCAGTAGGCAGGAGTGTGTGCACGGCGCATGCGGCGATCAGGGGAGCGGGGTTAGGTACATAGTGGTACATGGAGAAAAGGGAAATCGACCGTAGAATAGAAATAGAGAGAAAAGGGGAAAGTGAGAAAGGAGGGACGGGGGGTGATAGCGGGGAAAGCAGAGTAGGGCAGTATGGCATGGGGTGCGGCGCAGGGTCAGGCGGGTGTGCCCTGACACTGTCCCATACCTCGTACTCGGACACCGCTCATACCTTTGCTCCGAGCCTCCGTCATAGCTCCTACCTCGGACTTTGACTCCACCTCGGCTTTAGTCCATTGCATTGGTGACCTCATACTACGTAAACACCATTGCCAATATTCCTTGGACTTTCAACCCTGCCTCCATAACCTCCGTAAGCTCCATAACCTCCAAGCTCCATGGATCATCTTTGGCACTTTCGCTGCTTGTAATGTATCTCTCGCGTTTTCCCCTCATCCTTATTTGGACTGCTGCTTCTTCCCATTCTAGCCAGTTAGTCATCATCCCCACTTCCCCTCATCCTCCTGCCCCTCTGGGCTTCGCCCTCCTTACCTCCTTTCGGACGTACCACAGGTTCTGCCCTATGACCTTCAGTATCGCTCCGCTTCTGTCATCCCTTTGTTCCCATTTGGACACCTTCGTTCCGATTCAGACCCCCTTTGTTTCCCTGTGCTTTCGCCTTCTCCATTATATATATTGGTGCTTGTACATACTCGTTTTAGTCCTTAGTCTAAAATCGACCTGAAATGCCCCCTAGAGACTTCCTGCTCGCCGCCTATGAAATTAAGGACCAAATGGACAAACAGCAATGGCACAGTGCTCCGCTTGAGTCACTGAGGCCAAGGTCCCTCCTTGCTAAGTCTCCGGTTCCCCTCCGGAATCGTCCGCCCTCGCCCAGTTCTAACAGTTACAGGTAGGCCTGGGGGGATAGTGGTGCCCCTTAATTCTAGTGGGGGAAAGTTGATTCTACGAGATATTAGGGTGTAGCAGGTTTCTTGCCCGGATGTTGTAGCCATGCCAGGGTGGAGATTTGGCAGCGGCGATTCTGGTTTAAATCAGTGGGCAAATTGACCATGCAATTTAGGAGTGGTGTAGGTAATGCTCATTTGGTTGTGGTATGGGTTAGGTCACACAGGTTGTACAGGTTATTGCAGCGGAATGGCAGGTGGTAATTTTTTTGTTTTTCCGCACTTAGGTTGTTGGTCAGGGTTTTCGTCAGTGTGTTGTACATTGTCATAACTACCCTTGAGATCTCGTCCACTGTGGCAGGGGGGGGAGTCTCCCGGCCCTACTCCTATCATGGGCATGGGGAAACTGGAGCCGGAGCTGCAGAGGTATGAGAGGGGGTGTCTCCAGAACGCTCGGGAGATCTGAAACTCGCTTTTGGGATACCAAGTCAAGCTTCAATGGTGCAGTTTGGGTATGTCGTGGATATGCTCTCGGAGGGGTTGTTGGGGAGTCATATGGTTGAGACGCAGATTGGTGTAGTTTAGGCTTGGGTTTTGAGGGTTGTGGCAGAGTCAAAATATAACGTGTCCATGACCAGGGCGATTTTGGGGCCTGGTGTTTTGTAAGGAGTGGTGGCAACACTTGCCCCATCCTTCAACTTATATCTTTATTGTATATATGGAAGTGTGGGAATGTTGCAAGGGTGAATTAGCCTTTACTTCCCCATTGAAAATACAGCCCATTATAGCGTATTCGACAGTCTGGAAGTGTGAGGCAAGCATAATATCGCGCATATAGCGCGATTAAGTAAATAGCTTACACTTTTTTATGCTTGGTGAGTTACATTCAACTAACCCCGTGCTAACCACGCTTCCATTTGATCGGCGTTGCCAAAGCACCCTGGTCAAATTTCATAACCCGGACCTTCTTTCCCCAATGAGACCTAGAAGGGAACCCGGATCGTCGTCCTTCTCAAGGACAACAAGGTATGCGCTGAGAAATGCGCAAGGTCTCACAGCAGACAGCAGTGCCAGCGAAGCTGACACTGCTCAAACCGACTTTGACCTAGCCAGTAATGAAGATGTGTACTCAGAAGATGCTGATGCATCTGAAACATCGGCAGGCACTGAGGTGCCTGCCACAAACATTGCCAACCATGAGGTCGTACCTCAAGGGCCTGAGGACTCCCCAGGTACACAAAGTCCAGGCTCCGCAGTGCCTGAAACTACTTCCTCTACTGCAAGAGGCATGTCTCTAGGGCCTGTTGATACCCCAGACACGTCTAAAACGTCCTCGGAGCCAACATTGGCTGAGATCTACCAGCTGCTCATGTTTCAAGCAGCGAGGATGGACCAGATGGAAACCCGGCTGTCTGAGTCTCAGAGCAGGCTCGAGGACAAGTTCGAGTGCAGGTTCACTGCACTCGAAGAACGACAGAAGAGTCGTTCACACTCTGGTTCCAACCAGAGTGAATCTAGCTCAACTGCGTCCAGTATAGATGCAGTCCCCTTAAGACCTCCATCCACCTTAGGGATGTGCAACGAAAGTAACTCGACCAAAACCCCATTGGTTCCTTCAGAACCATCACGGCCCCCTACCAATTTGTCTCCTCCCAAGGAGACACACCGTCAAAACCCCCTGGTGGTTGAAAAACCACCAACTACCTCAATGCATGTCAATTATGATATGCATTCTAGGAGGAAAAGAGCTCTGCACGATGGGGTGCAGAGCTCCAATACAAATGACGGCGCTAGCTTCGCTAGCGCCCATCCTCCTGATCTCCCACCCGATCCAGGACAGATCGGTGTTTTCGACACGCCTCCTGGGCCCTCTGAGGGCCCTGACGTGTCGAATCCAAAGAAATATGGTACTGCAGATGCCCCAGGCTATGCAGTACCATCTCGACTTCCTGAGGAGCCATCTAACGTGCCTCCAGGGCCTAAAAAGCCCTTTGATGCACCGGATCCCCCTGTACCTGACATAATCGGACTTCTACCCACTCCAAAACCACAAAAGGGCCTTGGCACACCTTCGCAAACTGCTGAAAGTGGCAGTTTTCCAACGATTACGCAGCCCTCAGAAGCCATGAATGGCCAACTCGAAAGAATCGCGCTGGCCATAACGGGTCTCACAACCCGTTTTGACGCATCACAATTAGAGACACGGGAAAAGATGGATGAAATCCATCAAAAACTGGCTGACCTCAGTAAGGGCCCGGTTATCATTCACGATTCCCAGGTCCAATATGAGGCAGTTCCAGATGAGCTGAGAGAAAACTCTCAGCGCCCTCGCTCTGAATCAGCTAGAAGCCGATTATTGACTAATGTGCCTGTCACTGGCACTATTCCACTGAGGCCTTGGGAGGTACTAAACCCTCCAGCTGCCTCAACCTCACGCGTTAATATTAATGCGATTAACACCGGTGTAAAACCCGCTGTAGTATGAAAACCCACCAGGATCATTAATACAGATGATCCTGGCATCCAATATCCTGTTTGGCCTGTGTCAGGGCACACCCGCCTGACCCGGGCCCACCCGGGCCCACCCGGCCACACCACACCCGCTCCCCGCTGTCTATCCCCCTCCCCCCTCCTTCCTCCCTCTCCTCCCCCTCTTTCCCCTTTTCTTCCCCCTTTCTTTATTTCATTCTTCTCATCTTCCTCTTCCTGTTTATTTCTTTCTATCTACACGGACCACCTTCCCTTGTATCGATGTACTATTGACCCGTCCGGCCCACACACCCCGGACGGCTTCCCGCTGTGCCCAGCACGTGCACATGTAGCGGACGCTCTCGGGATCCCCCACGGGGACACCCGGATGCCTGCGGCTGCCTCCGAGGATGACGTGGCACCTGCCATGTGACTCAAGCCGCATGTACATAAATGTACCTGAAGTGGGAACCGAAGAAGTAACCTTCTTCTCACATTCTCCACTTCAGGTAAGTAGTATAGTTTTCCCCTTTAATAATAATAACACATTCTCCACTTCAGTCTGAGTGGCCAGGGACCACTGTCCCGGATCGGGCCCGCCAGTATGCACGCCCGCTCCACACCCCGCGACGGCCTCAGTGCCGGGCATTACCCCCGGGCCCTCTCGACCCCGGACGCGTCCCTGACAGCCTGCTAGCGCCAACAGAACTGAGTCCGACCGAGTGTCGGACTCCAGCCCCAAGAGAGTCCCTTCCAAGCTGAAGGGAAAAGAGGTTGATCGGGGCATGAAGCCCCCTCCAGTTATCTTAAGACCGCAGGCGAAAAATTTCCCTGCGGTACCTATTGTTATTCAGAGCTCGTCTGAGGCGAGCGATGCAGACCACGAAGGAGCCACACCCTGGAAACCACAACATGGAACCGGGTCGGCCATTGTGGTCAACAAAAAGGGCGATATTAAAAGGAGGCAAAGACAAATATTTGCCCCTCCTGCCCCTAGCGAAGCGTCCATGGAATACAGGACGCGAATGGACAGAGATGCTGCTTATCTGTATATGCAGGACAATCTCGACGTCCATGCACAGGAACTAAAACGTAGGTTAAACACCTACAGGCGATTCACTGCACCAGACCCATCTGGTGGATATTACGGTGAGTCGGTCCATCGCAGACCAACTAGAACTGGTAGTCAGAGTGGGCAGTTTGGACTGCCCAGGTGCGAGTCACTGGGAACTCCCCAGCCGACAATCCGCTATATTGGGGATCCTCAAGTAGAGAATCCCCCACCAATCCCCGTCCCCATACAAAAAAGGGAGCCCAGCACTGTGGCTCCAAGGGTAGCAAGTGCTACCCTCCCCAATGATGGATTCGTAGAATCCATGATTCGGTCCTATTCGTGGGACCCAAACAGCATAACCCCCAGGGATCCCGAGGGTTTCATGGATGAACTGGTTCGTCAAAGTACGAACCTAGTCAGGATGAGAATCCTGACTCCACTGCCTCCTGATGTGAGGCCGGAGTTACTCAAGAAGAACTTCGTTCCATTCCCCATGACCCGTTGGTCTGGGGAAAATGATCTCGAAAAATTCGAGAACTGGCTAGTAGAACTCACTTCCTGGATTTCAGGAAATGGGTGGAAGGGTGAGAGCTACAATGAGCTCCACATCGATGCGCTAGTGCACACCTTAGAGGGTGACCCGAAGCAAATCGTGCTTCATGAAGTGAAGCAGGGTTACAAAATTGGGGTCGCCCCCACATTCACTCAGCTTCTGACGAAGCTGATGCTTACTTACGTGAAGAGATCGGCAGCAGTTCCTGCCACCATGCTCTTCAAAACTCTCATGTACAATTCCCAAAAGGGAATCAAAAACTTTTACACAGAACTTCTCCGTGCTGCAGAGAAGATGATAACTCACCCAGATCAGGCGAGTTTTAACGAGCGTTTCTTGAACGCCCTCCCCCTTCAGATGAAGGAGGAGTGTGTGATGCGCGACTGAATATCGGTCGATTTTTCATCCAAAGAAGAACTTTGGACTGCTGTACTCAGGCTAGTCACCCACCTCTCCCCCCCCTAACTAGCTGTTAGAGAGCGTGATGCTTTTGGGTGCCTAACAGGCCTATGAATCATAAAACGTTTTAAAACATTTTAGAAGGGGATCTAGTTGTCAGCAGAAGTGTCCTCAATGTCCCAAAAATGTTCTAGAAACGCTTTCAAAACATCAACTGAATTGGTCTCCATTCCGTCATCTGAATGTCAACGAAAATGTTTTCAAAACATTAACTGAATTGTTGAGATTGAACCATTCTGTACAACTTATCCCACCACCCGCAAAGTTTGTGGGTGCCTTGTCATTCATGGCAGGTCGCAATAGCGCATCAAAAGCACAGGCACCCTTGGGCGTGAGCGTGGGGCATTTTTACTGATTTTTTTTGGCTGTTTCCTGTGGATATGACAAAGAGGATCGCGAAAAAATCAGAAAGACATTGCAAGCAAGACCTAATGTTCTCACGGCCTACGTCTCTCTACCAAATCCCTTGTAGTGGGCAGCAAACAATGCAGTAGGAGCACAAACACCATTGGACATGAGCTTTGGGCATTTTTGCCGATTTTTCACAGCTGTTTGACAACGGGGATCGCGAAAAATCAGAAAAATATTGCCAGCCCGATCTAACAATCTCACGGCCCATGTCTCTGCCAAATCCCAACCGTTCTGAATGGGTCGATAGTACTTGAGCGGGCCAATATATTTAGAAGTTTAGACAGCAGAGAATTTTAAGGGCAAAGTCAATGATTGTACTGAAAGTAATAAGTACAAGGAAGAACGCAATGATAGGATACAGTGCATCTAGGAAAGCATGACACCACCTCCAGGAACATTGAGCGTCACCATCCACTCCCCAGTCTTTGTGTACGACAGCATTTCATACCTATCTTTAATGACTGCCTTTCTACAGGCTTGCGAGTCCAGTGAGCTCCATACAGCCCTGGCAACTATACGTAAAGGGCATCCCGCCTCCGAGTCGGTTGGCCATATCTTGAATTCACCAAAATATGGTTTTGGAGTGTCCCTGGCTTTGTGTATAGCGACCCAGGCCAGCACAATGAGCAAAAAACGCTGGCAGTGTTGGGAGAGGGAGTGGTTCAGGGTATCTTCGATCATGTCCATTGCAAAAGACAATCATACCATGTCCTGCAATGGTGGTTCAGCTGGGGCTGTTTCCAAAGGGGGGAAATGCGCATAAGGAGTACGTTGGCAACATTATGATGAGTCAGACGAGAGGGTGCAAAGGAGGAATCAAGCCAAGCCTGGAGATCTTCCAATGAATGAGCCTGCTCGTGAACAACTCCAACATACTGCAAATCAATGCGGGACAGGAAAGGAGACAAAGTGTGATGAAGATCTTGGTCTTGCAGCACAGCTTTTCCTGGAACAATCGCCCAAGTATGAGGCAAGGGATGGTGATTGACTGTGTGCAGAAGCTGCTTCGCATGTGAACGGGACTTGAGCAATATCGAAACACGGAGGTCGCCACCCACAGACACCTTGGATGCAGGGTGGGCACCATAAACTCCCCAAGCTTGGAACTCATCAACCCATAATAATGGCCAATCGGTGGCATCCTGATAATCAACCTTTTGTAAGGGAACAAAAACCTCGAACCACTTGTCTTTGGGCACAGGGTGGAAGTCGTCTTTCGAGTCATGCTCACGGGAGCAACTGGAGAGGGTGGAGAGGGTGGCGGACCATCAGCGACACCTCTGGCAATGGCATTCATGGTGCCAGTGCTGCCATCGGCCTTCAACTCAGGCATTGGGGAAAGCCGGAGCTCAGGAACATCGATTAGTCCCTTTTGCGATGCTGGGGGCCATGATGGTGATAGTGACCACAATGGTGGCAGTGGCAGTGGCAGTGGCCAAGATGGTGATGATGGCCATGATAGCAATGGTAGCCACGATGATGAAGGTGGTGACGAAGGTGGTAGCGATTGTTGTGGTGGCAGAGACAGCCGGGGTGGCTGAGATGGGATAGGTGGCAGGGGCGGAGTTGAGAGCAAGCAGCATTGGCCGGTGGCTCGTAATGACGAGGGAGGGCAATCAGAGGGCAGCAGTGAGGATGACGAAGGGTGCGGATTGTGGGACTGTGAAGTGCACAGGGGCGGTGGTATTGTTGATACAGACAACAACATAGACTTGAGATGCTCAGATCCCACACGCGATCTCACTATTTCAATGTACTCATTGGACCGTTCGATCCAGTGCTTCAAATACAGATGACGATTCCCTGGGTCGCACCACTTCCACCACAGATATCGAAGAAGAGGAGTTGCATCAGCTGCTTTGATGCTAGTAGCGGTGAGTTGTCGACGAATGCAACTCCACGCATCCATATCACCATGATATGCCAGAGCAACTAAAAGGGCACCCTCTTTACAGTCCTGTGCCAGCGAGTCTGAATCAAGGGTGGACTGAACCAATGCTTCGTATTCTGCATTATCCATGTCCCCCTGGCCTTGAACCGCAAGGGGTTGAAAGGGGGATTGTCATCAAAAGTGAGTGTCATATCCCGCAGCAGCCCCCCCCCAAACACAGTCCGTGGAGGAGCAGGCTGGGTACAACAAGCAGGGAAGTGTTCCTCGATGATAGGAATAAGGCCCTTATTAACTGGATGCAGTTTATTGCGGCCTACATCGCCTATAAAGAACCGACATGACAGGTCAAGGGAAATAACATTTTCCCTAAATGGGCACCATGTGCACGGCCTCACTCGCCATACTTGAGGACGATACAAGCCATCTGGATTTCGGTGGCAGGTGGATAAGCGATGGAGCTCCACAAAATTATGGCAGTGCTGCTGGTCAGCAATGAGTGTTTGGGCATCAAGCATGCCTTCTTCTGGAATGTCCTTGGCCTGTGATGGTTTCCTCAGCGATATGATGCTATGATGCTGCCTCACCACGAAGAGTGGGACACCGTGTCGGTGAAGTGTCTGAAAATCTCCAGACTGGAACAGCTGAGTGACATCATTTGAAGCAAACACGAATGTGGAACCAATAAGGGAAGTGTCGACTGGAATGAAAGGGGGTGGATGGCTGGTCCGTCTGGCAACGAAATCAATGCAATGGAACATGGCATAGTTAGACCACGCTTGCATCTCAAGCCCTCAACGATATGCGATTAAAATCGAGTGTGGATCATGCGGTGGGGCCTTGAGCTTTGATGATAAAAACTGAATCGGACTGGTCGAGCCATCCAGTTGAAATGGGATAGGCACCTTCCAACGGTTAATTATTTTTACCCATCGCCAGAAGCACCCCTCAACAATCTCTAGGAAATCGAAGAGCTCATCATGAAAGTGCCTGTCCAACCGGTGCCCCACGAAATACAGTTCATCCCATCTATGGTTGAATTTGTTGGTTAATTCGCAATAAGAGATGTATGGGAGATGTGGGCAGTTGGAATCATACACGACAGGATATCGAACGTAATCCCAATGATGTTCAAATAAAAATGTGTCTGCAGCAGAGAAAATGGGAGGGGGAATGTTTTGAGAAGGGGACTCATCCAAGGGCTGCCCCAGAAATTCGTATGTACATGCCCTCAGACTGTTCAAAGCCAATAGTGACCAGGAGAATCCATGATACACGATGTGTCGATCCGTTTCTATGAGAGCAGCGGCATCTGTAAGCAACCTGTAAGGGTACTATGACTACAAGTACTCACTCTTAGGATGTATCTCAATACGGTGCTGATTGCGTGCCATTTGATCACCCAAAGCGGCATCAAAAGGCAAAGTACCGTCCACTTCTGTAAATCGGGAGTTCCATTCATCCCACATTACTGGTTTATGAGTTCGATGATTCATAGTGGACATGTCATTCATAAACCCTATGTCCAGCTCTCATTTCGACGCGTTCGACATATCAACCACTCCCACATATGAACTGGAAGCATGTTGCTGTGTCACTTCATAAGGATGAAGGTCAACAGCCACCATATTGCTTCGGCCTGGCAATTGGGGACTCGTGGCTTCCATAGACGTCCTATCCGACTGCCACTCTGATGCATTGGCCGCGACTGCATGCGAACCAGAAGCATGTTGCTGTGTCACATCACAAAGGTGATGGTCGACAGTCATCATATCGCTTTGGCTTCGACGCAACGACATGTTAGACGAACGATCGAGTGATTGACTGGTGAAATTGTTGGATAAGCGAGCCTGGGGCTTAGATGAGGAGGCTTCTAGTTAGTATTATATGTACAGAGCCATCCATAAGTGCACATCCATACCTTAGTCGTTCTGATGAACGCAACGGGAGTTTAAGAGTGCCACAGCAAAAACCATCCCGACACATGATTTCCTAGATCCTATGTTATGTTTTCATTCCTTTACCATTGTACAGGCCAGCGAGGGTGACAAGGATGATTTGTTAGCCATGCCTTAGTGGTATGTGGAATGGAGTTGGCCGAACTTACAGTGTCCTATTCATTTGTCTCATTTGTCCTAACATGGGGAGAAAATAGCGCAGTCCCGACAACTGGCAATTGATGCTGCAATTGCAAGAAATTTAGCATCATTTACTGTGGGCAAAGAGAGGACAACCCTTTGGTACGCCACTAATGTGTCTACCCCATCTCGTGCTGCCATTTGTGAGGGGGCTCGGCATTTGTACAAAGAATAACTCATGTAAAAATTCCACTTAAATCGATTAGGCACTGTTCATCGTTACGTTGACATGGCAATATTGTCATATCCATCCATGGCCATCGACCTCGACCGCTTCTGATCCCTCCGGACTATCTCCACTCCTTCCTCACTAACCTCGGAGCCCCCATATTCCACAATCACCTCCGCATCCCTCGATGGTCACCACCCCCTCTTTTCAATATATTACCTATGCCTCCCTAAGTACGGAGCCCCGAAGGCTTCCGGACAGCTCCGACGTCCGCTAGCGCACTCCCACCTCCGCTGGGCAATACACTCGCTTGCCCTGCAAGCCCACCTTCGGGCCTATCCCTCCTTTCCATTTCTGGGTTATCGCCTACCATTCCGCTAACCCCGTAACCCGACTTGTCGGTAATATTCAATCAGCTAATGTTTAACCCTGTTAACTCCGCTCCGCTTGGCCCCGCCATTTGCGGGCCCGCCCTCGTTGTAACTATATATACTCAACTTGTACATAGGTTACACCCCAGTAATAAAATCGACTAGAGTTTACCCCTTTTAGTTCTGGTTGCCAGTTAGTAAGTTAGGGCATGGATGTGTTACTTGGCACAGCGCTCCTGGCATAAGTCGCTGAGGCTGAAGCCCTCCACCATGGAGACATTCCTTCGTCTTGATCTGGTCTCTGACAAATACTATTATACTCCAACCAGACAAATACATTGGAACAAATGCTAGCACGCACCGAACATGGTGTCCATACAACCTTGAGTGCAAAGTGACATGGCAAACCAAGTTAGGTGTTACAAAAATGGGGCCGGAGGTGCCCATTTTCGTCCGTTCTTGACGCAGGAAAGTGGAAAGTGGAAGTGAGGTGGTTCATTAGGGTTTACAGATGGTTTCACAGATGTTGTAACATGAGGTTTAACAGATGTTAGCACAGCGGGTTTTTTGGTAATTGTTGATGGGTTAAACTTAATTACTATACAAATCATGTGATACAGAACCCATAAGAGTCTAAAATGGGAAATTCCCATTTCCATAACATTAGGAGTGAATACAACGCTTGGCCATGCACAACGCGCTGGGTTGGCAGAACCTAACACACAGAAGAAGGTCAGCTGCCAACTATCCCTTCAAGCAAGAGCCACATACACAGCGAAAACTAACATACTATATCCAAAGATTGGGCATGTAGCACAGATTTGTTCACGCAGCATGAATCGTGCAGAAACAAAAGCGCTGACAGGCTAATGTTCCCCTTGCAGACCATGAGGGCAGCATCCTACATAGTCATCAGGATGACTCCAGCCATACACTGACACTTGCAGCTGGAAACCAATAGCTCCACTAACCCTGGTGAGCCAACAACCCCCTGCATAACCACAATCATAACTTACCGCTTATGCCCGGGCTTTACACTATTGTTCTGGTAACACACACGGACGAGACCGCAAACCTAGCACCTACCTGATCACGAGCACATGAACAACCAGCATAGTGTGCTGGTAATTGCTTAGCTCACTCACCGGCTACTACTACTACTACGACTACCACGACTACCACTGCTACCACTACGACTACCACTGCTACCACTACGACAACAACAACGACAACTACTACTACAGCGACCACGACCACCGCAACTACTGCTACCACTACGACTACAACTCTCTCTCTCCAACCCAACAGAAACAGCAACGGCAACAGCAATGGCAATGACAACCGATCTGGAGGGGGAAAGGATGTTGCGAGTGAAAGCGTTTAAATATCTGTCTGGTGGAAGTGTCTGTGTGCCAACATTGTGGTATGTTTGGGAACCAATATCGTTTGATGCCATTCAACATTATTCAATAGAGTTGGTTATGATGATGAATCCTGGCGATAAAACGATAAGTCCTGTTGCTGATCAAGGGATTTCAGCGCACCGTGCTTGCCCTGGCATTTGTAGGGAGCGCTGATCCTTTAGTCAGGTGATAAACCATGTGGAAATTGTATAAAAATCCTCAAATCTTGTTGCACTCGCATCTCAACCTCTGTCGAGTTGCTCTGAGAGATGGCCTTTTGTTGCAAAGATTTGGGGAAATGGTCGTCATGATTCCCTCTCAATCCTCACATTTGTATAGGTTCGCATGCGATCTCACCATCAACTCAGTGGAGATGAATTTCAGCGAGTCCAAGTTAGGGGGCCATCATTTCTGGAAGTGTCCTCAGGTGGACAATAGATGTAGGGTATTCCGTGAGTAATTAGTTCTATGTTGTTTCATTCAAATAACTGCTATGGGCAGTTAAGGGCAATCAGATCGCGATTCCAGAGTTTAACAAACATCGGATTAGAGGGCCAGCTTTTACCGAGTATGTATATTCATGACCTGTCTATTGTATCCATGAAACTCATTGTATTGGCCGGGTTCACATGAATCAATATTCAAAAGGATGCCAACGCCGATGCCGAGCACTATTATCATTGATGGTATGAATCACAGCGCGGCATCACAGCCTGCAGCACAATCCGCTGCCACCATCCTGCCAGCTTCTCCTAAATCTGCCATTCAGCAGAGGACTTTCAGGTATTCGCTCATATTTCGATTGCATTGCACTACTCACTACTGTAATAATAGAGCTAGATCAAACGTTTCTTCCCCCATTGCCTCCACTCCAGTTTTGCATCAAGCTGAAATCTCGTCAAGGAGGGCAATGCTTTCTCGGATCATTGAATTGGAAGATCAGGTTCGTTCCCTGGAAACCCAGAAGCATGACCTCAAAGAGGAACTTGATGCCCTCGAAATAGAGAATCAATCTCTGTTCCTTAAGAACGAGGATTTGCAGAAGAAGGCGAATGACATTGTCGCTGCATTATGTACTATTGTTGACAACCACTGAACAGCTTGAGACTTGTTGCAATATAATGTATTTGTCCTTCTCGATGTCTGAACTACAAAATAATATTGACCCGCTTCTCCCCGTGGGAATCCAATCAATAATGGGGTATGGATGTCTCCCAAAACAGGCACTTAGTTAGGGTCATGAATGCATGCATCACTCGATGCCCTCTACCTGTTTACCAAATTTAATTCAGTCTTACCCCTAATTCTGAGTTTACAGAATGGGCTTCCAATTGCCGATTGTGAAGGCCCCAATTCCCATCCATGAAACACCTGCCGTTAGACCCGGCGTAACTGTCCATTAGACTGTATACTCACCCTTGCTCAGTGCACCATAGCTATTGCGTATTATTTGAGCCCCACTGATAGATAATGTTAATGTATTGCATTAGCCACCCAGGACTGATCATCTCGAGTTCAGTACAACTGCAACCCCGTTTCACCTCAATATCAGCTATAACATTGTTGGTATCATTGGCCATATAAACTAATTTGAACCCCCAATGAAAGTATGGTAGTGTCTAGGGAATATTCATGACACAGATGTGTCGGAATTATCAATGCACGTGCTGCAGCCGTGTGACATAACATGTTAAATGGTGTTTGAAGAAAAAAGTCGCATCTAACATCGTTTCAGCATGCCATTCCCTGTTCAACTCATGTTCTGTAGCATAATTAGGTATCTTGGAGCTAACACAAAAATCAAATGAATAATCTTAATTCTGACGGTTCCCTGCCATGTTCATGCTCATCACTGTCCGGAGTGATTCAGGGGCCGATTTCCCACTAAAAACCCCGTTCAACTCGCTTGCAGTATCTAGCAACACCCTCAGGACACTCAGGTGCTGCTCCACCATGCTGAGAGGTCAGGAGGATTGAATTGAATATCAATCAGCATCTTATGGTAATTGGTGCATGTATGTACAATAAATTAAGTTTGTTTTTACATCGGTATAGACCATTGTGCTTGCTGTACCGTCAAAATGCTTAGACGGTGAGAAACAGCACTTCCGCGTAGCGTCTAATACCTGAGGCTGGTGTATGGCCACATGAGTTCCCATCAAACGGGACAATCCCAGCTGGTCCGAACATGCCAGATGTTAATTGTTAATATTACTATATAACAATATAACAATAAATTCGGACAACTCCTTACTTTTGTTCAGTCTCGTGACGAAAGTGTGGCATTGATAGACCTTCCTTCCATGTATTCCGTCATCTTCAGAATAATCATGGCCTCTTTAGAGTAATTGCTCCAAAGACAACACAAGTGAGAAGCATGGCCCCTGTACCAAATTGCGGAAGCAATTCCCTTTCGATGAGGCTCTTGCCTCACTGATCAGCCCCATCGATGGTGTTCACTTCCACGTCACTGTGCTGAAGACAGCACCTGCGACTGAGCTTATTGGATAACTATCTATGCTTGCTTCATCTTCAAGCAGCATCGTCGTCGAATTCTGGGCCACATATCTGATTTGTTAGTGCAGCCTGTTTTCAACTATCGCCGTAAAGTTGTTGAGGTGAATTTCTTTCTAGACTAAGCCTCCCCTGCCTGTCGCGAGCTGGATCTATCGTTGGGGCCGTGGCTTGATGTATCTGTGCTTGCCTCATCTGTGAGCCATATCCTCCATCAGCAAGTATCCCTTGATATCTATTTCCTCATCTAATTGTCAGTACTTCCTGATATCATCTACCTCCGTGAAGTAGCTGAGACCAATTCTTTTTCAGGTTAAGCATCTTCCCCTTCCTATCAGGAGCTGATTATACCTATCGTTGGTGTGCTCTTCAGTGTTACTGCTCTGAAGACAGCGCCTTCAAATAAAGGTTGTCTTCGGTGTCCATCTATGTTTGCCTCACATTTGAACCATGCCGTCTTTTATCAGCGAGTTCAACATCCAACACTTCCTCTATGTCAGGCGTTTACCAATTCAGAAAGTTGCTCAAGTCATCTGAGAAATATCACGCTTCCAAGGCATCATCGTCCACAGCCAAAAGTGAGACCCTGCGCCAGCTGCATAGCATCCCCGGAATTGGGCCCTCTGTTCCACGTCAAGACCCAACCAAGCAGCCTGAAACCCAAGCATCAGCTGCAGATGCTCAATTCCCTGCCTCTGTCTTCCATGCTGATCAGCTTGAAGGCTTCGAAACATCTGATCCGCCCCAGCCCCAGCACACCCGATCCGCACTGTTCATAGGGGTCATTCCCATAAGCTTGGATGACTCGAAAGTTACAGTAGCCTGCACACCCCTGGAGGCTCGCCGGTCTAATCATGCCATGAAGCGTGCGAAGCAGCATGCGCATTGGGATGGTACTGTGCTCCCACAACTAATACCTGTGTACACGCAATGGAAACGTTTGCATCATTCCGGGGTCTCACCTGTGGCAGATGCTTGCAATTGTGGGTGTGGCCACCAGCCACTCAAAGTCACATGTGTGCACTTTGACTGGAAGGAAGAGATTCTTCTTCTTGTTTGTGATGTTCGTCCATCTTACATTCAACTCATCGAGTGAGGCTTGTTTCCATGTGCCCCATACTGCCCGTTGCTTGCTGTGAGCATTGATATGTTGGAATGGGTCTCATTGTTATTCAGATTCACTGCACCAAACAACCGAGCATGGGCAGCCACCACTCAAATAATCCTTCAAAGCCGTGGTTACAGTTTTGAGACGAGAGATTCCCTTCGCAGGCGCTTTTCCAATGCTCTCAAATATTACCAATGTCTTGTCTCCCTGGTTCAAGCGGAGTTGGTGAGCCTGGCATGAGCCCACACAGTTCTGTCTCCAAACAGGCTCGACCCACGTGCGATGGGTGGCAGCGGCCCCCACACGGACCACCAAGATCCTCCGGTACCCCTTCCTGTTAGATCTCACTCAGAGGAGCCTCACCTCCGTACCAAGTTTGATGCCACTACTCCTATCCGGAGTCATATCTATGAGAACACCCATCACATCCCCAATCAGAGTGACACAAACAGGGATCTTCCTAGTCATTATCTCCGTTCTCAACGCCCCCTCTGCTTTGGTGGACCTCACGCTAAATCTGAGGAACTCCAGACAATTGTATGTTGTGATGCCAATTTCCAGTTGAAGCAAATAAAGGACAAGGATCACTGAGGAGCAATGGAGGGAGGTGTGGGCAGTAAAGATCCTACATTCATTTCACCACGAACTATCTTCCTATCCGATGAATTTGTCGCATTGTGGAAAGATCATGTTGAGAAGATCCGACCTCCTAAAAAACTCTCCAAGAAGCTGTCAGGAACGTGTCGGACACGTATCTGGGTGACCCGCAAGGCATGCGAGGTCGTCCGGGCTCGTAAGGTCGGAGGGGTGGGACTTTAGCTTCAGCGACTCGGGTGGAGCGCTGTGCTTCGTTCTTACGTTGGTGTCCCAATTTCAGACAGAAGCCTTACGATGAGGAGAAGAGTCTAGAGAGGGAATCCAAGTCGATATACGAACTGAGGTACATCCGGTGTAACCTACATGCATTATAAACACAAGTAACTAAATAAGACCGGCCTGGAAGGAGTGGCAGATCAAGCGTGATATTAATGAATGAAGAAAGAGACAAATAGTTAATATTGGCAAACTTGGTCAACAAAAGGCAAGCAAGAAAGAGGAACAATAGTCCGCAAGTGGACAAAAGAGAAAAGGCCATCCAGCTGCCTAGCAAGCTGTCCGGCTGGCGGGTGGACAACAACGAAGCGGGCAACTGTCAGGGCACACACCCTGACTAGCCCGGACCCGGACCTGCGTCCACCCGCTGCGCTTCCCACATGCACGCACGCTCCGCACACCGCATGCTCCGGACCCGGTTTCTACCCCTTCATGTGACTTCCGGGTATCCCCGGAAGTTTTGCTGATATTGTGGCCACTGTGGGAAGATGAGAAGTTAGCTTCCTTCTCATCTCCTTACCCACAGTAGAGTTGTGCCCTGGATAGGGCTGGTTACACCTTAGGGCTGTGGACCATAGGGGAGGGTCATGGGGACCCAGGAGTCGTCCCCTGACAGCAACCTAGGTTGGAAGGTACGTGCGCAGGGGAGGAAGTGCGGATGAGGGTGACAGGTGGACGGATGGATGGGCGGATGATGATGATAGTGGGCGGGATGGGCCAAGTGGCACTAGGACGCGTTGACAGAAGTGATGGATATGTCGGGTCGTGACAGAAGTGCAAGCATCATGAGGAAGAAGCTGTCGATCTCAAACGTGGCTCAGCCGATGCAGAAGATAGGATAGAATCCAACCTACCGGTTCCAAACTCCACGTATGATGCATGCTCTGAGTCTGTCATATCCATTCCTGGCCATCAACTTCCACTCCCTCCGATCCCTCCGGTCTACCTCCACTCCTTCACTAACCTCGGAGCTCCCGTATTCCGCAATCACCTCGGTACCCCTCAATGATCACCACCCCCTCCTTTCAATTTATTACCTACGCCTCCCTAAGTACGGAGCCCCGAAGGCTTCCGGACAGCTCCAACGTCCACTAGTGCACTCCTGCCTCCGCTGGGCAATACACTCGCTTGCCCTGCAAGCCCACCTTCAGGCCTATCCCTCCTTTCTGTTTCTGGGTTAACACCTACCATTCCGTTAAACCCGTAACCCGACTCGTCGGTAATATTCAATCGGCTAATGTCTAACCCCGTTAGCTCCGCTCCGCTTGGCTCCACCATTTGTGGTCCCACCCTCATTGTAACTATATATATACTCAACTTGTACATAGGTTACACCTCAGTAATAAAATCGACTAGAGTTTACCCCCTTCAGTTCTGGTTGCCAGTTTAGTAAGTTAGGGCATGGACGTGTTACTTGGCACAGCGCTCCTGGCATAAGTCACTGAGGCCGAAGCCCTCTGCCATGGAGACACTCCTTTGTCTCAACCTGGTCTCTGACAGAGTCCTTCATCGCTGCCGATGGGGAACGCATCAAGGCTTCAACTGACTACTTCACGGATACCGGAGTCATGGCTATCCTGTGCCATCATGACATACCCCTCTTCCTTGTCAACATCCAGACCGCTGGCAAGAAGCAGCACTACCTTTTTGCACTGATTGCGAAATTCTTTGAACACATCCCAGACCACTGGCAAGTGGGAATACTGTATAACATAGGGTGTCAGGGAGATCGAACTTTAAAGAAATATGATATAGCGCCTGAATGGGGACCCTGTATTGCATGGGGTGTTTCTATTTTCCATGCATATGGGCATCAATTTGCGTGCCAACTCTGGTATCATCCACGTAAATCAGAGTGCTGGGGCCTCACCGATCACGAGGGCTGCGAGAGGGTGTGGAGTCAACTTCGGCAGTTGGTTCCGGGGCTTCGCATTACTGGCCATTATCGTCGCTTCTTCTTAATCGATATACAAGCCGAGCACATCGAGTCAGCAAAACTGCCTGATGCTGGCAAATGGCTTAAAGACCGTTTCAAGAGAGCCAATGAATGACTCCAGAAGGTCACAACTCACCTGGCGACAAACAACCATGTTCCTATCCCGGAGTTGTTGGAGCAGTTTGACAATCAACGCCGATATTACAGTAAGCCTTTGGAGCGTCAATCGAAAACAGCTGCCCAGAAGGCCATGGATTGAGTCGGCTCCTTGAGAGCCGCTTTGAGGACTCAGGAGGCACTCTATGATGAGGTTGTTAGTGCTGAATCGGGACATGAGGATTATGTTCAGGATCCTGAGTTGCAAGACTTTGTGCAGAAAGTTGCAGCTGAAGTGGCTAAGCTGAAGCAATCCCTCACCACTGCTATGCAAGCCATCGGTGCTCAGGGTGATGCTGCTGTCGGGGAGTTGGAGAAGCTGAAGAATGATCAGTGGATGAATGAACTCCTCAACTTTCGAGTCCTCAGAGCTCAATTGATACGGAAACTACGTTCAAGACGGCTCGAACTCAATGTGCTTGATCGCTCAAAGGCTCGTACTATTGACCAAGGCATGAAGGCCCATGTGGAGAAAGCAGTCAAGAGCCACTCATCCAGCATCAATGCCACATTGCATAAATACAATGAGAAATTAGTGCTCCTAAAAAGGCTACAGCTTTCTAGCCCAGCAAATAAGAACAGCTACCTTCCGCCCCTCCTTAGCAAAGAAACTATCATGAAATTGGACGTTGACCAGGATCTCTGGCATGAGTACATCGATGTCGATCCTGGAAAGGATGCGCTCTGTCAGAAACTGTATTCGAGGTGATCGCGGGAAGCGGAGCAGAGTACGGCGGCGTGAGTGGTCACTTAGCTAATGAGCTACTCCATTGCAAGGCGTCGTGGGGGTTGGGACTTCGGCTTCAACGACTTGGCCAGAGCGTTGCGCCACACGTTCTAGGCTGTCCCGTATTTCACGTTAGCGGGAAAGACCTTGCGGCGACGTTGACTTAAGTGGGGATGAAGTTGAGAGGCGAACTTAGGATGAGAGTACTTGGGGGGGGAATTCTAGTCGATATTTGAACTAAGGTACATCGACAGTAAACTACAAGTATAAATACGAAAGGAGAACAGAGAAGGGGCCGGTCAGTCCAGCACGGGACAGGAGCAGGATGGTAAGTACGACAGAACTAAAAGAGCAATGAGGACCAGGGAAATGGAACAGAAGAAATGAATGGAACAGAGGACAGCAAAGTTGGGAGGCAGAATGAATAGGCCGACAATCTAGGTGCCAATATGGTGGTGGATCAGAATGTCAATATACGAATAAATCAAATGTCAATAAAGGAATAAACCAAATGTCAATAAGGAGCGGATCAGCAGCAACCATAATAACCGCTAGTTAGTTAAGCGAATGAATAAGAATAAAACGGTATCGGCCGAATGGCTGAGGAACCCAAGTGGTGGCGGGAGAACGAAGAAGGTGCTGCTATGGGGCCGTAGAACGGGAACCACTATCGGCGCCACTAAGTGATGGGCAATGGCGCGATGTCAGGGCAATAGCCCCGAACCCCGAGTCACATGTAAACTAGATAGATATAGTCACGTGGACAAGCGGGAACCTCCGGGTAACCGCTTACACACCACCGTAAAATACATCATCTTGTATCACTTACGGCTTTGTGTGCTGAGCAACCCCAAAGACCTCACACTTTTTTAAGTGCATGAGGTGTGTTTTACAACACAACCCACAACTATAAAATCTCAACATCTGATTCGGAAGCGCTTATGGTGCCTAAACACGCCCGCAAGGGCAAGGTCGCATCTGCAGCGACGTTAAAAAGAAGCGAGCGGTTTATTAAGAAACCGCAATCTCCCATCATGGGAGATTCAAACCAAAAGCCGTCGTCAGATGACGACGAGGATCAACGCGATCCGGGAAAAGCAACCACTTCAGGGCTGGTCCCTGAAGACTTTAGAAACTTACGTGGAGTAAGTGCGGGGCAAAATACCCCCAGAACTCCACAACAAACCGATCTAACCCAAGCTGGGGAAGATCCCTTACCTCCCCACGAGGTAATCGACTTGCGCGAAAAACGCGTAAGCGCCGAACGATCAGCCCAAAAAGCTGATCGGATAGAGCCGCAGGAAACCCCAGGGCCCCACTATCCCCTAGAGTTCCCAATCACGTCCCCAAGTCAAGCCCTAAAGGCAGACAAAGGAAAACAAAGGGAAGAAACCCCGCGTCGGCTATCCGAAAAACTACTGGACTTGTTCCAGGTTCCGTCCGAATGGAGGACGGAAAGTGAAGATCAACTTCTTCTCAGGCTGAAAGCCCGAGAAGGCGCGAAAATACGCCCTGAGAGCAGGATCTCTCAGAGCGCGGAAGCTCCAAAAGAGCCTCTGCTGTTTACACCCCCACGCACCATGCCAGAAAAGGCAAGGTCGCCAACTTCGGAGGAGGTCTCCGAGATAATGAGGAGGAGGCGAACTGAAATGAGGGAGTTCGCTGAGGAAGCCTTACGTAAAAATAAGGAGAAACCAGCGAACAGACCCCTCTATGAAAGGGAAGCACCCTCCGCAACGGCCTCGCCAAAACAAAGCGAGCGTGGAGTGTTCACTCCAAGAACCCATTCTGGAACTCCCAGAAGCGGAAATGTCAACTGGGGAGAGTCACTGCTCGCCCAACCAAACTTCCTCCTGGAAAACCAGGAATCGTGCATAATAAACGCGATAAACTCGATCCAGAAAAAGATCGAGGAAACGAACCATAATAGCATGGCTCGTCTAGAGATAACTCTAGAAAGAATGGCCAACGCAATCGACGCGTTGACAGAAAAAATCAGCGAACAAACAGATTTGCTGAAGGAAATAAACTCCTCACAAAAAAGTGAGGAAACAAATAAACACCCCTGGACCACGGTCCAGGACATAAATAGAACTCGTGAAAAATTCACGAAAAGAACCACCAGTGAAAGCACACTGGAATATCACCAGCGACTCGACAGAGACGCTAAGGAGATCCTTCTCCCAAGGATAGGAGAAGATGATGCCGAGAGAAGACATCGTTCAGAGATCAGAAGGAGAATTGGCACGTACCAAAGGTTCGGCCAAACATCCAATTATGACGGACCTCTCGAACAGAGAGGTAACGCATTCATACCCTCTCAAAACAATGAGAGAATACAAATACAACTTCAGGCGAATCCGCCTGAAACCAAAGAAATGCTGCGAGAAAGATTCCCCCCAGCAAAAACCCCCCCAAAGGAGAGATCTCCATTGGACAGCGACCCCGCGAAGGCAGGGGAGCAAGAAGAGTACCTGGAGAAATGGTACGAAAAGGCCATAAGAATGGCCGAAGTGAGAATACTCACTCCCTACCCAGAAGGAGTGAAGCCAGAAGCCCTAAAGAATGGGCCGGCATTCCCTGACAAGAAATGGTCAGGGGAGAACGACATGGAATCGTTCTGGCAGTGGTTCACAGAACTACTGGGATTCCTCGCCTCGCGAGGATGCAAAGGTCCCCAATTCGACGAAGTCCACCTGGACTGCTTGATTCGTGGATTAGGGGGACCCGCATTTGACCTCGGAATTAGACTCCGAGACGAAACTCTCCTCAGAGGAGACGAGGGCATGTTCCTCGAGGTTCTCAACATATTGATGAGAACCTTCATCAAAGCCTCCGCCGCGTTGAACGCGACAAAGAAATACCGCAACGTCAAATACGAAGCGGAAAAAGGCCTAAAACAGTTCTACTTAGAACTGTCAAAAGCAGCGTCCCAAATGGTGACGCCGCCAGACCAGGCGTCCTTTAACGCCAGGTTCTTAAACTACATTCCCCTCGAATGGAAGAGGGAAATGATTGCTCATGATAGAATCAGAGCAGACTTCTCCTCAAACGAGGAGATGTTAAAAGCAATATCTCGTGTAGACGAGATAATTGACGGGCTGAAGATGTCCTCAGCCTACAAATCAGGGTACTATACCCGAACAACCACCACGGCAACAACGAGCCGCGGCAAAGCCCTCCCGTCAGGAAAGAAAGCGGAAGAGCTGAAACCCAGATGGAAAGAGGATACATCCTCGAAAAACTCGAGGAAAACTGACCAAAAGTCAGTTCCAATTTGCGGCAAATGCGGCAAAATAGGGCAAACGAAAGATTGCCCAAGACACAATATAACGAGCGATGAAAAACCAAGGCGTATAGCTGCCATGGAAATCGCGAACTCAACAGATGAAGAGTCAAAAAGCTCATCAGATGAGAAACCAGAGAACAACTCTGGTAACTCCGAAGCATCAAGCTTCGAAGTGGAGGACCCATACGAAGGACCTCAATACTCACCTGACTCAGAGGGTGAGGAAGTCAACGTTGGGACCATAAGAATGGGCCCAATGTCAGTCGTCGACCACGATGACATAAATTATAAAATCAAACTGGCTGTAGCACACCAGTTAGAAAACACGGCAGACGAAAAAGTCGCCGAAGCCTTGGTGGAAGCACCAAGAAAAGACGCCTTGGGGAAATACACCAAAGTACCCAAGGAAAACAAGGACAAAGGGAAGAAGGACCAAAAGTCCATCGAAACCCAGTCCCCTTTATTTGATGCGAAATTCCGCATCTCAAAAGACGCGGGAAAATACCCCGTAAACAGACCGCTCTCAACAAAGAGAACGCTAACGGCTCACATAAAAATAGCAGGCATAAAAGCCTATGCGCTATTCGATAGTGGAGCCGAAACGGACGCTTTATCGCCGGACTTTGTCCGCGCGGTCCACATCCCAATCCTTCAACTGGAGAACCCAGTCGTCCTCCAAATGGGGACGAAAGGAACAAGATCACAGATCCTGTTCGGAACTAACGTGGACGTTGAGATCAACGGCCACGTAGAAAAACACTACTTCGATGTAATTAACATCGACAGGTACGACGCCATCTTCGGCGCCCCCTGGTTAAACAAAAACCAGGTAAGCTTAGACTTCCGGTCCCACAAAGTGAGAACGGCGAACAAGGGCAACATAGACACCCTTGGAATAAGCGAAGACCGTGTGACGAGATCACACGGAGGGAAAACTCGAGCAAGAGCCCGAGAACAACCAAAAAAGAAGCCCCCCTGACAGGGAGGCGGGACTGAAACACACCTCAGGGTAATCACAAGAAAATACCCTGAAGGTTGGCCCAATCCTAGTCCGGAAGGACTAGAACTTCCAGACGTACCACACCTGGAAGGTCTCTCCATGAACAACCCCGAGTTCGAAATACTCAGGGAGTGGTGGAGAGAAAAATTTGAAACCGTAATGGCGCCAGCGCCATTAGAAATGCCTCCCCTGAGGGAAGTGAACCATCGAATCCCGCTGAAGGATCCGAACAAGAAATTTCGGGAAAACACCCCGAGATGTCCCGCAGCACTGCAGGAAGCACTAGCGACCAAAATAGATCGCTATGTAAAAGCAGGATGGTGGAATCCCGCGAACAGCGAGCGAGCATGCCCGCTACTGTGCATCCGCAAAGCAGATGGATCTTTGCGCACGGTAATAGACGCGAGGAACCGTAACTCAAACACGATCCTCGACGTCACACCAATGCCAGACATGCGACTGATCCAGGAATCAGTTGCCAGAGCAACATACCGATCAAAGATCGATATGTCGGACGCGTACGAACAAATACGCGTGGATCCAGATGA